GCGTGCCGCACACCCCTTCCCAATTTTTCTGAAAGTACCCACCCCAGAAGTTTTGGTCATATTTTAGGACACAAAAGGCAGGTCATTGTGCCAGGCGTTCCTTGCGGAGACCGTGGAAACTGGGACTAAAAATCGTTGCGAAATTGAAGCCATGCATGTTTTGCAAAGAAAGCTTACGAAAGATTAAATTTAGAGCTTTTCCGAAACGTGTCAGTCCACGAATTCTATCGCTTGAAAGCGTTGATTACTTTAGAGCAAGTGAACCCTACTGAGTGGTTGAAAAAAAGAAGAATCTTGATTAGCAAAATTGCGATGGTTGGGTGTTGTAAACTTGAACTGTATGCAAATGAGTCTTGTGATGAGCATGCGATTTATTTTCCGCGATGATTGAAATGGCGTGCTGTGTAAATCACTTTTTCGACATCTAAAATTGATGTAATTTCTCTGGAATCGAGGCCCTTGAATTTTCGTGTATTTATACACGCGTGTAGCCTTCTACCGCAGAGGTGTTTTTGGTCGTCGCTAACACGCGTACTAAATCAATTTATCGACGTCGATAATGTAGGAAGTAAAAAACCTTTAACCCGTAAATCATGTTTCTTGTAGAATTAATCGCCTCCTCATTTCTCGATCTAATCTCCAAGCAGGCGGGACTTGATGCCGCTGTAAGCGCGTTCTTGTTGTGACAAGAATGTGGAGGAAAGTATAACAAAATTGCTGAAATTCAAATTAAACCTAAAGCTAAAAGAAGATGAACGGGGCGAACTTGAAGAGAGCTCATTCACTAGGGAGCAAACTCACTGATATTCCTCACGACTTTTAACCCATTTCTAGCCCTAGGTTCAGAATCTCACATTGTTTGCCTCTGTTGGTTTTGTAAGTCTGAAAGCATCTCTGAAGGACCACGCGTTACGAATCACTAGGTACTAAATTTTGATAACTGGACGTAAAAATAACATATTAAAAGCTTTCTTACCTTAAGTAACAAGATATTGCCTTGTTGATTAAATCACACGCGTAAAAAAAGATGAATTCAACAAGAGAGGTTTTCAAGTACATGGACTGTTCACGATTTGGTGGCCGCCATCTTGATTTCACATTGAAAGGGACCTGGGGAGAGCGCGGAAAAATACCTGTCGGACCCCTGTCGGAGACTTGTCGGAGACCCGGTCGGGTAGACTACGAGTAGTCCCCATAAAGAGCAGGCGAAACGGAAGCGCGCGTGAAAATCACCCCACGCGAGAAAGGCGAGACGCGGCAGTGATATGAGAGAGAAAAATGATTTCTCTTCCGACCGTGTCTCGCCTTTCTCTCGTGGGGTGAATTTCACGCGCGCTTGCGTTTCGCCCTGAGAAAAAATGGGGACTACTCGTAGCCTACCGGTGGGGAAAAATGCTGGTGTGGCAAAGCAGATATCTCTGTCTCTTAAATCCTCAAATTCCCGTGTTTTTTTATTATTATTTCAGTTTTTTTAGTGGAGCTAACCCCTACATTACAGTGAATCCATAGAATTTATGTCACCGTTTTTCGCGAACTGTCGAACCTCCCGCAAGTAACATTCCAAAATGGAAGATTCAGTGGTGCCATGCTTGCCTTACTGACAAGAAAGTCTTCTATTATAGTCCCGACACATCCTTATTGAAGAATATACTGCATGCTATTTGTAAGTTACTATGTGCTAAGTGTTGTGTTGTCACTAAGAATTTATCGTATTTTCTGAGTAGCGCAGCAAATGATTTAAGGCAGATACAGCTGTAAGGGGGTCCTGGACATCCAGATCCTGAGATAATGGGGGGGGGGGGACGGCCTCAGAAAATTTTTTTCGGCCTTCAGTTTGGCCTAAAAATAAGGGGGGAGCGGACTCCTTCCCTGGATGCGCCACTGATGAAAATCAGATCAAACGTCAAGTGGTCTCTTACAAGAGGTTGTAATTTTCAATGTTTACAAACGAACATTACTTGCCAAAACGCCAAACAAGCCGTAGGAATGATTGCTTGGTGTAACTGCGCCATGATTCATTAAATTCGTAACAACAACTTTAATAAAAAAGAAACACTGATATTGTACGATTAAGAAATGAGAAATGCTTCAAAGACAAAGAAGTCTTGGTAGGGCTAAAAAAGGAAGAAATACCTGGCATCACTACTCTCGATAAATGTCTCATATATCTATTCTGAATGAGATCAATCACAGATCCCAACACTTACTAGAAATAGAAACTGAACTAGCAGGCGGAAACAGAAGAAATTTCTACAAAAAATACAAAAGCGCAATTTATACGAGAAAAATAAAGACACGATGACATTAAACTGAATATAATTAAAAATAATGGCAAAAGTATAGAGACTTAGAATAACGTTTATGGCAAATGGCGAACGTTAGATTCAAGTTGTCAATTTCTCAAATTGGGAAATCAGCGGGAAAAGGGTTCCAAGAGGATTATTTGGAATGGACCTGACATGAAACTGGTTATGGTTTGTGTAGAACCAGACAAGTTGAGGGCAACGTTGGTCACATGGTACAAAAATAGAATTTGCTGTTTATTGTCTCGCCGTAAAGATCAACATAAACGCGATCCTAGACCTCTGTTATTTTTCTTTCAATAACAAAAAATAGAGACTGCACGTATTGACAAGAAAACCCTGAACAGAAACTAATTCCCTCACTGACAGGTTACCTGAAGTTCACAATAAATAAAAATTAAACATCTTATACTACTAAATGAGAAATTTATGCAATTTGATTGGCTTAGAGTAGTGGTATTTCAGCTTAATTTGAAATACCTACATGTGAAAATTACAAAACCTTTGCGGGTAGTAGTATAAACAAATAATAGCATGATTTGTACGTGATTTTTGGCATAAAAACCACTCGTTACATTTCAAAATTGTCTCAAATTTCACTTGCCTAGCGGCTCGTGAAATTACGTATAAGAATTTTGAAATATCACTCGTGGTATTTATGCCAAATATCACTACAAATCATGCTATTACCTATACAAATGATGTGGAAATTCCTGAAACAAAACGTTTTATTCCCAAACGGTTTGAATTGGGTACAACATTGAGTTAGCTGAATAGGTCTATTAGTATGTCTGAGATTATATTTGGGGCAATCAGCTGTCACAAGATAAATAGACAGATCCAAATCCTAATTCCATAAAAAGTTAAGAAGGTTCAGTTCCTGAAGTCTCTCTCTATAAGACTAGACTTGCTACGATTTAACTTCACAAGCTTCTTAACAAGCAGAGTGAGCTTTTGAGGCCAGGAAGCAGCCGTATGGAGAGCCCCTTCACATGGGCCCGGTTGACCATGCTGGCCATCTTGCCTCCCTTCTAAATCCTTTGTAAAGTTTTCGATGATGTGCTCATGTGAGAGAGTGGGCTGGCTCAGTTCCCGAGGTATTGGTTTTTCCAATGAGATTTCGCAAGCTATGATCGGTGTGAAAGTTAAAACTTTGTGTTTTGTCATGTTTCCTTGAATTTGGCACCAGGACTTCTCATCTCGGAAACCAGGCTGAAATTACCCACATGAAGCCAAGAGAAAATTTGTTCCAGTAACCATGCCAGCTTGGTCAACCGGTCTCATGTGAGGAGGCTCTAATAAATCAGACAAAGGCCTTCTCTTTAAGTCTACCATAAAGCATGTCCCCTATGATCAGTTTTGTAGCTGGTTACTGAACTCTTTCAATAGTGTCAATCAAAAACAGTTGATGTGCAGACCAGACTTGACAGGTAAATTCAACATGCGGTCTGACTAATTCAATGTATAATTTAAATAGTACATGGGGTTGGGCAAAAGTGCCACAAGTTTTATTGATCAGACGTTGGACTTTACTTGCGATGTTTGCTTTGCTCAAGGTAAGGTTACACAAAGAAAGATTGTTATGTTTTTGCATCTTAAACAACACACAACATAGTGTTATACACTATGTCTTGTTATAAATTTAACCTGTGATCAGGCGTTGCATTTTTTGGGAGAAAAAGGACGCCTGATGGCAGGTTATCGTAAAATATGCTTCAACAAAATTAATGGTACGCCAAATGCCCACATCTGATTACTTTTTGTGTAACAAAAATCTTATTTTCCTTATGCAAATAGCATTCATACCTTACTGCATAAAATCAAGTCAGAAAGAACATACATGAAGCGAGAAAGGAATAGAATGAGAATGATTATGCTTCCCTTCATCAAGTGGGCATAAGGCAGTTGAAGCAGCTGAAGCTCTTAATAAAGGTACCCCAAAATATTATGTCCATTTCCCTCTGTGTTAATTAACAATAATCTGGCCCTAACACAGATTTTTCAACTTCCTGATATCTTGCACTTACCCTCGACACTCAGGAACTATCTTCAGTCACCACTAAGTCTCATATGACTTTTATAGTGCTGAAGAAGAAGGGCCTCACTACTCATTTCCTCTTGACAAATCCAACAGCTGTGTTTCTCAACAATGACTGATCGACGGTCTTCTATGCTAAAGTTTCCATTTACCATATGGCTAAAACACTTGTCAGAATCATTAGGCTTTTCCACAGTGTGAATTTTTTCATGACTCTTAAGCTGTCCCGCTTGAATAAAACACTTACCACACTGTTTACATTCAAAAGGCTTTTCACCAGTGTGAACTCTTTTATGAATCCTTAGGGCAGTTGAAAGTCTAAACCACTTGCCACACTGTTCACATTCATACGGCTTTTCCCCCGTGTGAATTCTTTCATGTCTCTTTAGCAATCCTGATTGGTTAAAACACTTGCCACACTGTTTACATTCATAAGGCTTTTTCCCAGTGTGAACCCTTTCGTGTATCCTTAGGTAACTTGATTGGCTAAAACACTTGCCACACTGTTTACATTCAAAAGGCTTCTCACCACTGTGAACTCTTTTATGAATCCTTAGGGCAGTTGGAAGTCTAAACCACTTGCCACACTGTTCGCATTCATAAGGCCTTTCCCCAGTGTGAACCCTTTCATGACCCCTTAGGCTTCCTGCTTCGCTAAAACACTTGCCACACTCTTTACATTCATAAGGCTTTTCCCCAGTGTGAACTCTTTCATGTTTTCTCAGGCCTCCTGATCGGCTGAAAAACTTGCCACACTGTTTGCATTCATAAGGCTTTTCCCTAGTGTGAACCCTTTTATGATGCCTCAGATGTGGTGCTTGGCTAAAACACTTTCCACACTGTTTACATTCAAAAGGTTTTTCCCCAGTGTGAACTCTTTCATGTGTCTTTAGGTTTGCTGCTTGGCTAAAACACTTTCCACACTGTTTACAATCATAAGGTTTTTTCCTCGTGTGGACTTGTTCATGTTTTCCTAGGTTTGCTGTGTCGTTAAAACACTTGCCACACTGTTTACATTCATAAGGCTTTTCCCCAGTGTGAACTCTTTCATGTTTCCTTAGTTTTCCTGATTCACTAAAACACTTGCCACAGTGCTTACATTCATAAGGCTTTTCCCCAGTGTGAACTCTTCCATGAATGCTTAGGGTATTTGAATGTCTAAAACACTTGCCACACTGTTTACATCTAAAAGGCTTTACTCCAGTGTGAACTCTCTCATGAATCCTAAGATGGCTTGAATGTTTAAAACACTTGCCACACTGCTTACATTTGTAAGGCTTTTCCCCACTGTGATTTCTTTCATGTTTCCTTAGGTTTCCTGCTTCGCTAAAACGTTTGCCACACTGTTTACATTCATAAGGCTTTTGTCCGGTATGAACTCTTTCATGTCTCCTCAGGAGTCCTGATCGGTTAAAACATTTGCCATTCTGCTTACAGTTAAAGGACATCGAGCAAGTGCTTCTGGTGCTGTCTTCTGGTTAGAGTGCCTATTAATCCAAAACAAATCAATATTAGCTAACCACAACTGCTGCATGTATTTCGTTTTGTTGCCACCACGCTAAAGAAATGTGAGAAGCTGACGCAAGATCAAGCAAGCTCCTTGACAGCGGTAGTCGACTGCAGACAACGGATTGCAAAGAATAAATTGAGCGACAATGAAATTGTTCTGATTACGCTGACATCATTAACAAAAATGTGTAAACTTCCAGTTTGTTTACCGGTTTCTAAGAAACTAAAATGATAGCCCAGGCACAGGCTTGATTGGAGGCAGGAAGTATTTTTAGAAATGTTGCGTCTGTTAATTGTAATAATAAAATTGTAAACAGTAAAAAAATTGCATGTTATTGTCTCTCACTAGCTATATTAGCTTTCACTTAGCATTTTTTTGCTTCGTGGTCACTATTGTCTGAAAATGTTGTGATGTTAATTGGTTTAAATCACTGCAGTTCTTATCAAGACAAGACGAGAAAAGAAGACAAGACAAGACAAGAATTTTAATCATACCACACACAGAAAAAGAATTAAAAAGACGATGCTGCTGTAACGTACAAGTCACTTGGAAAACAACTAAAAAGCGAATCTAGCTAGAAGTATGTTTAATAATAATATTGTATGTTACTAGTTGTATGTTCATATTTATTGTCAGGTTGTAATAAATTGGTAATTTCAGGAGGTTCATTCTACATTTATACCCCATCCACTTGTAGGTGCTGTGCATACGACGATGATAATTCCTGCACATATTAGCCTTATTCCCAAGCTGTTGGCTGTACTTCACTGACTCATACTGACTCATATCAACAATTGTTGCTGACATAATCTACAATGAGCAGATCTGACAACATTAGAGTGACCCACAAGATAAGACATTTGAATTTTTGGAACAGGGCTGTTGTTAACTTGTACTATTGCTAAACTGTATAATTCATGGCATGCGCAGGTGTTGAGGCCTCAAATGTAATAAATGAACCTTAATGTATTAAAAGTCCGAAGTGTAATAACCATCTCATCCTAAATATAATAAAGATCCTAAATGTAACAAGTTTTGGCCTTGAATGTAATAAAGGTCCTACATGTAATAAAGTTTGGCCCTAAATGTAATGAAGAGTAATAATTTTTCAGCTCTAAATACGTTTAGGGATGACTTCACAATGTTTGCTATGAAGCGCTGACAAATATCTAGATAGAAGCCAATTTTAGTTAGTTTTGAATTCCTTGATTGTTTTCCCAATATACGGCTCAGATTTAACAAGGCCACGCACCACAGTGTTTGTGTAGAATTAAGTCTGCATAGCAAGCGTTTCTAATAGAGTTATTGCAAGTTGGAGTAACAGCAAAAGAAATGAAAGATCAAAGGGGAAGGGATGCCTCATTCCTCTTCTTTTTCTCCTTTCTTGACAAACTCACACAGAAACACTTGCTAGGCAGGCTATTCAGAACTCTGTTCTGGTTTCAGAGAAAATCAATTAAGATGTTGTAGCTGGCTACTTTTCTTTAAGTATGCCATTTTCACTTTGTCCAAATAATACACCTTGTTTACTGCCTAATTAATTCTAAGTATATAAATTGTTTTCAGTTTCTCTTGGAATATGTGCCCACGACCAAGTTGTGCAAAGCTGGGTTTAGATAACTTTGGGTCAGGGAAAAATTTAAAATCAGATATGAAGGCTGGAGGGGACATAGTTTCATTACAAACCTTCCTACTTTTCATGTGAAAGCAACCAAAGATAATAAATAAGGTAAAAGTAGCCAAAACCAAAATTCTACAAAACTTCCTCACTCATAACCATTTAGTAAAATATTGAAAAGCAAATACAGTCACTACCGTTGGGCCATAAAATCCTGGTCGTAATAAAGAGGTGGTCACATTAACTGGTCTTCAAAATAATAAACTGACTTAGGAAATTTACATTTGGGTCGGAAAAAAGTGGTCATAATAATGAAGTGGTAATCGTATGAAGAGGTTAGGCGTAAGGTAAGGTTCCACTGTGGTACCCTTGTGTAAGTATTGCCAAAGAGATTCCTTTTGTATAGTAAAACCACAGGATTTTATCCACAGACTTTAAAGTTAGAACAACCTTCCAAGACTCAAGCATTAACATTTTCTGTGGCAGTGAATGGGGTAAATCTACCTTAAGTCAAGATTTTTTTTCCACCTGTCTGCTATTTGTGAATAATTATGGTATATGACAGTCAATTAATGGCATCAATGAAAGCAATAAGTAATCAGGAGGTGATCAGTGGGTAATTAGTTGAAAGGTCATTGTTTATTGATCTGATTGGGCAAAAACCTATGGTTTATTATACCGGTAAACCCATAGAAAAAGGCATCCAGACCACGAGCCATACACAAAACCGGCTATTGATCTGCAAACAACGATTTTAGAGAGGCTAAAAAACAGAACAATTTACTTTATACCCAACCCTTCTTAATATTAAAAAGCACTGGTTTCCACATTTTATTACTCAGTGTCAAAATTTGTTACTGCCATAGCTTTAAAAGTTACGAAGTACAAAGCTGGAAAGCAATTTACATTTCATGACAATGCCAAATCACAGAGAAAGACAATACCTGTGTGAATTTCTGGTCTATAAAGTTTCTAGGAAAACTTAACCATGTGCCAACTCTCAACAAAACCGATAATTTTAGCATTCTTGAACTATTTTATGTCAAAAATAAATTCCTGAATGAAAGAAATTGTCCCTAAGAGAGATCTGATCAAGTTCTGGTACAAAATCAATCGCTGCAGGTTGTAAACAAGCTGTAAATGATGATGAAAGATTTCAGAGTTTCACACTGGTCTTTTTCCAACATTTGCACAAAGCATTTGGTAATATCAACAACATGACCTTCTTCAAACCACCTGACTTCACAAATCAACAAACATAAATGTTAATATGTGGTGACAGCAAAGAAACCTTTCTTCAAATTTGGAGTTACCACTGACTTATTTCCATTGGTCGCTGTGCGTACATAAGTTACATGCGACAGATCTTAAACCCCTACAGCTTGTAAAAAGTGAATGAAGTCCTCCATTACAATGGCTGCCAGTTCTGTCTGTAAGCACGAAATTACAGATCGACTCAACAAAAGACAGCTGTGTACAGTCTGATGTTCAATTTTCTACTTCTGTAGTAAACAAACCACGAACTTATTCTTTCATTGTATGTTCGCATGAATATGTGTTGACTATTCCTGTAAAACAGCTTTCATAACTTGATAAGTTATCATGTAATGAGTGCAAACACTGGTGTTTTGAAGTGCTGCTGTTTGTTGTTTGACAGAACTGAGTTTTGAGAAAGTTCGGCGCCATTAAATCGTGAGTCATGATTGGCTTATGATGACTTTAGAGAGAGAACATGACTTGATCATGGTACTAAAACCACACTTTTTACCTAAAAGACTCCGTTCTACAAAAATTATTTTATAAAAGCAATAGATCACACTTTCTATGGGTTTACTGGCGTGATAACCCACTTGGGATGTTGGAAGAACAGTCAAAAAGCTTGTAAATCACTTTTTCTCGTGTTCTCGCAAAATTGCGCGTGGTGTATCACGCCGGTAATTCCACAGAGAGTGTGGTCCATTGATTTTAAAAATATCAACACATATGCAACTAAAGTTTCTACCATTTCTATTATTATTTTTTCGTTCTCAAGATCTTGGTTTCCTAAACATCCCTATAGATTAAGCAGCAGAAGCCACTGACAGATTATTTGCCATCAAATTATGCTCTAAGGTGTTCAAGTTAGATAATGAGTGGCTACAAACTCCGGCTTACCACTCACGCAGAGACACATTTGAAACTACGTTTCATCAGCAGCTAACCGCTGTTACTAAATTTTCACAACTAGACGTATCAATAAGATGTGAAAAACTTTCCTACCTTAAGTGCTGCCGCGTTGATTTAATCGCTAGCGTTCGACATTTGAACCGCCATCTTGATTTATACCCACAGGGAACGTCTCGGGGACTGGTGAGATTGCAACGGTCATTGCAAAGACAAAAAGAAAAAACTGTCGGGGACCCAGTGGGGACAGTTGCCAGTGTGGGACAGACCCCCAGAAGATGGTTTCGTCCCGGGGTGGGAATACTTTAGGAATTTATGGGTGGTGATGTGCCGCTGGGACCTTGGAACCCTTAGCCTACACCAGAGCTTACACCAGAGCAAGTTCAGCCTACTAACTATGGTTCAGCTGAATTTTTCTACGCTATATTAGACTTAACACTGGACTAAACTCCCCAAATCTCCTATCCTAGATATAGAGTAGCTGTTTTTCAGAAACTACCGAAGTCACTAGCACAGTCCAGCCAAAATAAAAGCGATTTGAGTTTTTTCTGCAATTCCCAATTTTCCTAACTAAAATCTGCAACCGGTTGATCAGTTTCCTGGAAAATGATACTCTATTCTAGACCCAAACTCTCTGATTTTAATATACCTGGCAAGGAGCCCATGCCCAGAGTAAACTGCTTCAAAACCGTTCCCTTCATAGCCTACGTGGCAGGCGTTTGAAAGGTTTAAGGCGCGAGAGAAACGCGAGGGGCGCGCGAAGAGGGAGCGCGCGCGCCCCGGCCCTTGCGTCTCTCTCGCAACTAAAACTACCTTTCCCTTCCCTTTCAAACGCCCTCCGCGCAGGCTATACCCCGCACAGCGACACATACATATATATCCATGATATGGCCGTACCCCGCTCCTGGGGGTTTCGTCCGATGTCTGTCTCTCAAACAGTATCGTGTCCTGATCATGACGTTGTTGTTGTTTTTTTTTCTTTTCTATGTTTCAGCAAATCTAACCCATAAATCACAGTAAATCCGTTCAACTTGTGATCGTTTTGCGCGAGCAGTCAAACCCCCCGTAACAAATGCAAATGCCCGAGTACATCAGAGAGACTAAACGCCAACTTAATGAACGATTTGGAGAACACCGCCAATCCGATCCGTCTTCGCCCGCGTTGCTGGCGGGATTCTTGTGCCGCCAAGTGCGTGAAGCAAGCGGCGAAGCAGCGAGGGATTTTTGCAAGCTCCAAGCAAGGAGAACGCGGCATTTTGAGGGAAGCGGGAGACGAGGGGAGAGAAAAATAAAGCTCCTTCCCTCGTCTAGACTTGCTACAAGTCACCCTCTTGGCGAGCGGCGCAAGCCTTTTTAAGCCGCGAAGCGGCCGACCGAGCGAAGAAATCGCGAGAGGTCCCGCGCCATATTAAATCCGACGAAGGACGTTTTTGAAGGTCTAACCTACCTCTAATTGATCATCACGGAACAAAATAAAAAGACGCCAAACTGCTCGGGAATACGGAAATACGACCGCTAAATTTATCGCTCTTTGCACGTTTTCCGTTTATTTCGAAATAGCAACTATAGCTCAAGAACATGTTGCGACTAGTTATATCACGACACTAGCTTCTTTTAGATTTCTTGCACTTTCGTTGGTGAAATCGAGACAATGAAAATGACACAAACTCAAGGAATAATGAGACACCCAACAGTTTACTGAAATGTTAACCATTAACTAAGCAATACAATGCATTGCTATCTTAGAGCTACCGTGTGGCAGGAAATTTTTGCGGGTTCTAATTTTTGCGATTTTTGCGGTTTTTCCAGCGATCCCCGAAAATAAGTTCCCGCAGATACAAATTACCACTAACATTTTTCCCGCAAAAATTTACTCCAGAGTACTAAAGATTCTCTAACTTAAATTACAGTATTAAGAAATCGTGTATATTTAATCACAACTTGTCTCTTTCACTCAGGAATAAAGAAATACTGTTTTCTTGAGTGCTTGAAAATATGCATTTGTATTGCACGTTCTCTATAAAAAAGAAAATATTATCAATGCTGGGTACTGGGTACTTTCTGAAAATCGCAAAAATTAATTCCCAGCAAGAAAACCCACTCTGTCCCAATCGCAAAAATTAGTTTCCGCAAAACACAAAAAAATCGCCAATCCTCAAAAATAAACTCCCGCAAAAATTTCGTGCTACACAGTATCTTCTTATTTCACGTAAACCCTCTATAGAAAATGGTAGACTATGAGCAGTCCCCATATTCCCTCAGGGATAGTAGAGCGAGCGAAACGCGAGCGTGCGTAAAGCTCACCCCGGGGAAACACGTGTCCCTTTCTCGTGTAGGGTGATTTTCACGCGCGCTCGCGTTTCGCTCGCTCTGCTGTCCCTGAGGAAAAATGGGGAGTACTCGTAGTCTACTAATGGTACCCCTTTCACATACCTAGGTTACAAGTCTAAGAACTTTGCATCCCTTTTGACTGTTGTAAATGCACTGTCTTCAAACTTTAAACAAACCGAGATGACAGATTACCTTGTCTTTTAATATACTTGAACAAGTTAAATTCCTGCTTTTTTCTAATATACCTGAAACCAGAAAAAGTATCCCTTTTGGACGAAGCCTCCCCGCCTAGATCGTATAGGCCGTTATAGGGAGTACCCCCAGGGGGTTGTTAGTTCCCCAGCTGAGCTCAAGCAGGGGAAATAACAGCCCTGCTTATCTGCAAATGTCACGCGCAAACATAACATCTTGTCGAGAAGAGTGTATTTTCTTTTCCTGTGACAAAACTCTTGAAACATAGCAGACTGGGTAGGGCACCGTGACTTAGAAATGATTAATTTTATTTATAATTCTCTGTTCTCGTTTCTCTGACGCGTGCGCTAGAGTGCTATATTACGAGCAAGAAAGCGCAAGAAAAACTTTGCTCAGCATGCACAAATCACCAACCTGCACGGTACTGTATCATTCTCGACCCCAGAGCTCAGGCTATTGACTCCGCGCGTTCTAGTTTGTAATCATGCGCAATAGAGAAGATCTCTGGGGCGGAGAATGGTACTGGAAGAATGCAATTGCGACGTAAACAGGGGCGGACAGAGGATTTTGTGGCAGAGGGGGCCTAGAGATATAGTCTGCAGTGGTAATATGGGCGCGAAAGCGCTCATCAGGACTGCGAATGGCGCACTTTTCTGGGGAGTTTCGGGCGCATGCTCCTCCGGGAAAATTTTTGAGATTGAAGTTCTCTGACATGCAATCTGGTCCATTCTGGACGCAAATACCCGGATTCCATATTGAAAAGGTAATGCTGAAATATTTAAGGAAAAAACTCCCGGACAAAAGGGGAATGGGGCCCCTGGGCCCACCCTTAAATCCGCCCTTGGTAAACAGGTCTCTCTTACAGACAACTGAACACAGATCAAGCGCCAGGGGTGGGTAGCGGAGCTCCTTAAGACGTTTTTATAGTTTGTTGCAGTCGTTTCTTAAGTCCCCGAAATGGGCTTCAAAAATTTGTTAACAATAAAGCTGAAGGTTAAAGAAGTATATTGCTATATCATGTGTTAAAAAAATCATTAACAATTACAACAACATTACAGCAAAAACTACAAGTAAGTCTTAAATTCATCAGTTATCGTAACACCTTGACACGAATCTAAAGTACACAAGTAACATAATTATTACCCTGTTATACCAGTCGATTTTTTTGTACCTTGCCTTGAGTTTTCCTTGACGCACAACCTTTAGTATAAAGTCATACCGATTATTGCACGCAAACTTTTCAACTACGTTTTGTGTAACGTGTCCTGAAACTACGGGTTTCGCAACAAAAACGCCGAACAAGCTGCAAGATTGATTGAGGGGCGTAGCCAGGGGGGGGGGTCCCGTGACCACCCCCCCCCCCTTGGTAGGCCTTTTTTTGAGCAAACAACCTACAATATTAAGGTGACGAAAACGCAATGACAATATCTTGGTTGTAAAAGCCATTGTTGAAAAGCCCACTTTTTTAAAATTTGTTTTTTGTAAAGTATTTTCGTCAACGGCTCTTGTCTTTAGTTAATAAGGGCCTTTATGCCGCGATAATACGACTAAGCCCGCTGATACACGAGGGAGAGCAGCGGTATAAGCCATATACAGTCGGCGATCCCCGGAAGGTGTCCCTGCTGTGACCCCTCCTTTGAAAAAACCTGGCTACGCCCCTGTGATTGCCTGGTGTAACAGCGCCATAATTCATTGAATGCGTAACAACAACTTCAATAAAAAACAAGCACTGATATTCAATATAAAAACAAAGACAAAGAAGTCTTGGAATAGCTATATAAAGGGGGAAGTACTTGGCGTCACTACTCTTGATAAATGTCTACCATAGTTTTTTTCTGAATGAAATCAATCACACATCCCAACACTTACTACAGTAGAAACTGACGAAGCCTGAGAAAATAGCCGAAATTTCGGAAACGGAAAAGAAGTAGTTCACTCCTCAAGAGATCTTTTGTTTTGTGAGAGATATCCTTGGCTCTTACCGCGTACAATAGGGTAATAAAAAATAAATTCTTTCCAACTGCAAAAAAATAAAAAATACAAAAGCGCTATTTATACGAGTAAAAGTAAGAAACGTTGTTGTATAATTACATTTTGTAAGTATAAAGGCAAAAGTAAAGAGGCTTAGAATGACGTTTATGACAAACGGCGAACATTGGATTTTAAGTTGTCAATTTTTCAAAATTAGGAATTAAGAAGGAAAAGAGTACTTTATAAACTGTCTTTTCCAGCACATTTTGGTAGAATTCCATCTCTTTCTTACGAATTCGCGTAACAGAAGCGCTAAAAAGTGTGTGAGGAATTTTCCGATTTCCCTTTGTAACTCATTTTATGTCAGTTTCTTTGCGTAAATCGCGCTCGAGATTCCACTTTTTAGTTTGAAATGCAATAATTCCGCTAATACGAGACATATGCAAATTTCCTCACACCCTTTTTTAGGTCTTTTATCTGTCAATCAGATGCAATAAAAAGGAAGTGAATATTTAACAACGCGAAAGGGCTGGAGCTTCAGCAGTAAAATCGATACCTCTGAGTTCGAGAGCAAAAAAACTTAAGCGCCTTTTGAAATTCGATGAAATAAAATCTTTTATAAGGTAATTTAGTCTTTTAGCTTTAATTTGATATATAACTTGCCTTTGTAGCGAAAATACTCGCGCGACTAGAATTTTTTTCTGTGGGCACCTCGTTTTCCTTTACCGAGACCTTAAGTTGAACATACAACCGACTACCATAAATGACGTAATAAACGCCCACTTCCACAGAAATGCATCCTATCTTACGAACGCCCCATCTATGCCATTAGACGCCCCTCTCGAATGATCGCCTTCTCCAAAATACTAGGAATTTTCACCTTGTTCAATGTAAAGTGCATTGAACAAGATGTTGGGATTTGATAGGGCAACTGAATATAGATCTCTAGACGACCTACACATGTCAATTGATGAAGTGGATATTCCGCTTTTTTCAAGCTCTCTTGATTTTTTCGCTAAAAGCATATTAGTTCCACTGTCACATAATTTTTACGTGCGTAGGTGCCTAAAATTTACGTTCGCAAATAAAATAGAGGTAATGTATGAAAGATCGCTCATAAGCGTAAAAGTATAACCTCGTTCAACTTCACGTTTAATGTCAACACTTTATATCTTGCCTCTACAGGGTGTTTCAAAAGTTCGTTCCGATTCTAAATTGTGTTTTGAGAAAAGCATTTGATACTTCTTTAGGCAAATGTAAACTGATTCAGGTAAGAAATTTATCTAAATAACCGTTCAAAGCAACTTCAAACTAAAACTTGAAGAAATTATATATATATTTTTAATTTTTGCCTCAACTGTACACGTACGCGAGGTTTTTCCCGCCATACTTTTCCTGCCCATTTTGTAGGCTTTCTATTTTAGTATTTTTATCGTTTTCTTTTATTTTCTCTACTCCTGAAAATGAAGGCCTACACTGTTTGTGCTAGAGATCAGGCCCCGGTTCCTGGAAAGCCGACTAAACTATCCTCCGATTAGCATCAAATCCACGATTAATTTTCTTATTCCTCGGATAACTAATCGTGGGTTAAAAAGGAGTTCCTGAAAGCGAAATAAACCCATGATTAACTAATCCGAGATTAGTGTTAAAATAAACCGGTTTAACAAGTTTTTGGGATGATTGCTTTTAAAAAATATGGCGCGAAAAATGTTTAGGCACGGGTGAAGTAAAGGAAAATGGCGGAAAATGAAGTGGTCTAGGTTGAACCAAAGGAGAAGAAGAGGAAACCGAAATTCTTCATCTACCTAGAAATAATTGGCCCAGTTTTTATAACGTAGTCCCTATATTCAATCCGCAGTCCACAGTCCATGTTTTATAATGACCAAATTTATTACATGAAGTAGTAACCACCCTGGCAACTGCTTATGTTTTCTCCTCGTCTGTCTCTCGAGGTCGTTCTTGAGGATTTCTACCAAATAATGAATTGACTCTCGGCCAAACCTGTTTTTACTGCAAAGCTCTTCATCAGTGAATTGGTCGAGATCAATTTCTTGCTGTCGGAACTTTTTTTCACGTATTTTAGGCAACGGTAAGTCCGCCATTTTGTTTGTTTTACAAACGTTTTCCCCCGATTAATGACTTAATCGACCTCGCTAGGTGGGTTAAAATTAACACTTAGTTTATTCCTAGATTAAGGTTAATCATGCTTTCAGGAACAGGATCAAATCGTGGGACAAAATGTATTCCGCGATTAGCGAGATTTAATCCTCGATCAGCGCTAATCGGCTTTCGCCCCATGTAAGGGAATCCAAGACACTCTTGGATTCTGGATTCCACGCCGTGGATTCCGGATTCCAATTACTGGATTCCAGATCTTTTTCAGTGGAACTTGGATTCCGGATTCGAATTGTCAGTGGGATTCCGGATTCCTACTCCTGTATTCCGGATTCCAAGGCCCAGGATTCCGGATTCCACAAACAAAAATTTCCAAGATTCCGGATTCCAAATGCAAAAATTTCCCGGATTCCGGAATCCGGATTCCTTTACATGGGGCGACGGCTTTCTAGGAACCCGGGCCAGGCATCTACTTTTATGATCTTCTGGCCATTAAGTCCAAAAAAAAAATTGCCAAATTGTTGAAGAAGTGTGAACGATGGCCGAACAAGTGGTCAAAAGTGAAGAACTTAGAAGACAAACCAAGGAGTGGATGGCCGTTTTTTCACAAAATGTGTGAGAAATATTATCGAAAAAGCTGTAAGTATATGTATAATAATTCCACAAAACAGAAAGGTAAAAAAAATTCAACTTCACGTTATCGATCAAAGTTTCGAGCTCAACGGTATGGGGATAAGTTACCAAAAAAAGTTGAAAGCGTTGAAGAGAAAAAGGCGGTGCACACTTCATGCAAGCATGGTCAGAAGGATTTGCCAACTTTATACCAAAGGAGGACCGGCCGGCAAACTGACGTGATGTGAACCCCCTAGAAACCATCTGGATTATCATAGACGAGACAACATACAAAGATCCAGCCCCCAAAACACTGGACGAGCTAAGACAGTGACTACGCTTCGCCTGGAAGAATGTGACTTTGGACACGCTTTGGGAACTCGTACATTCTATACCTCACCTCTTAGAAAATGTCAGAACACATAAAGGAAAGCATTCTGGTTACTAATATTTTAGTTATTCAATGTTAAATGAATAATGAATAACATAATAAGTTTTGAAAAGGGGTTTTTTGATAATTAGTGAAATTTAAGCGAATACAAAATCGGAACGAACTTTTGAAACACCCTGTAGTTTATTTACGTGATTAAAAAATACCCTAGGTAACGTGCGTAGCCAAAAATTGCGTTCATTGAAATCAACCTTAAAACTGAAAGACGTCCCAAGCCTTCATACGGTCATTTACTGTTCACCAGTAACGAAACGTACTGAAACTTACGCTTAACGGAACCTTCCTTAAAACTTTATCAAATACAGTAAAAACCAACGCCTAAGAAACTGCATTTTCCCAAGTTAAACAGGTTCTTACATAAATGGTAATTAGCACAAATTAAGGTCATTTAGGTTCTTAAATAAGTTCTTATTTTCTGAAGGAAAAACCATTGTAGGTTCTAGCTAAAATATTTGGTGCTATTCAGCTCATTTCTAAGACTGATGAAATCTGCATACTGACACATTATATTGCAGTTGGAGTGATAACCCTGTCTTCAAAAAGGATCCTAAATGTTGACTTAACTTATTTGCCCTCCTGTACAGAATATTTTTTGATAGACTTTAAAAATAAGAACCTGTTTAAATTCAAGGCTAAACAAGTTCTTGTGTAGAGGTAGCCTGTTCCACGCGTTCAAATGGTGGGGAGTGGGCAAAAAAAATAGTTGGGTGTTCCTTTTGCGCTCGACGCGTACGATTTAACTCGCTCCCCACCATCTGAACGCCTGGAACAGCCTAGTGTAGAGCGAGCCTAATTAACAGGTTCTCTAAAACTAGGTTCTTACCCTCTTTTTTCTACTGTACGTCAAGTCGGCGATGGGGGAGTGGGAATGTGTTTCGTAGTCTTCCAGGTCTGTTCTGATTTTACAGACACCCGTGTGAACACTGCTGTTTCATAGTTATTAGGCCTGTTCTGGTTTTACAGACACCTTTTCGAAAATTTCAGCCAGAAAAAAGGCTCCCGAAAATTCTAGGTGACCTTTTTAGGGTAAAAATCCGTTAAAAATGGGTAATTATACCATTTTTTTAGATGTTCGAAAATCCTAGGAGGGGCAGACAAGCAAGAAATTTTACAACAAATGTTCCGAAAATTCTAGATGTCAAATCGTCTTTCGAACAGATATTTTCCGAAAATTGACGTTGGGTGCCCCTGAAAGATTGTTGGTAGCCTCCGTCCGTCAAGCGTTTTTTTTTTAAATTTGAATTATTTTCCTCTCAGGTTATTTCTGAGGAGGCTTCTCCTTTGACAAATTCTTTTTTAACATTTGGAGGGTGACACGAGGTGAAATGTGTGTGCAAGAAGCTTTCCGTTTGTTTAAAATGTGTCTTTGCATCAAGGATAGATTTTTCCATGAATCTTGTGCCTTTGTATCCAACCGTGTCTAAAAATGCAGTCTCAGTGTCAAATGTTTCGGCCGTGAATTCAATAGTTGGGTGATGTAAGCTTGCTTGTGCAATGAAGACTTCGATGTCTAGTTTACTCATGTCCCATAGGGAAAAGATATCGTGTATGTGGCATTTCCAAACGGTTGTTCTAAAGACAGTTTTGCTTAGAGTTGTTGTTTCAATATATGTCATGAAAATATTGGCAAAGGAATCAAAACTGCTGTCTTTGTGCCCATTGCAGTTCCATGGTTTTGTAGGTAGTGCTTTCCCCTGAAGTGGAAGAAATTTTCTTTGAGGATTAATCTAAGCATTTCCGGGAAGTAATGTGTAGGAATGGGTTGTCTTGGTTGAAATTTTCATATGCTTTGTGACAGATAACTTCAATATACCCTCGTTTTGCTGTATATTTGTGTCAAGACTCATAACGTCCATTGAAACAAGAAATGTTCGGTTTTTCACATTCGTCTTTTCAGTGAAAGGTATGATTTCTGTGATTTTGATATTGGTTGTAGCAGTGTATCAACAAATTTTGTCAAGCACAGAATAAGGTTTTATTGGATTATTAAGAGGAAACCGAACGTCCATGTTTTAACTAGGGGGCGGGTCATGCAATTGCCAACCTTGCTTTAGGGGTGGGTCAGTCATTTCTGTGCCGAAGGGAGGGGGTGGGTCATGTGTTTTTTATCAACCACATTTCCAAATGCTCCGGCCCACCCCCCCTATACTTTTTGACCAGTCCCTAAATGCACTGTCTTCAAACTTTGTACAAACCGAGATGACAGATTACCTTGTGTTTTAATATACTTGAACAAGTTAAATTCCTGCTTTTTTATAATATACCTGAACCCAGAAAAAGTATCCCTTTCGGACGAAGCCTCCCCGCCTAGATCGTATAGGCCGTTATAGGGAGTACCCCCAGGGGGTTGTTAGTTCCCCAGCTGAGCTCAAGCAGGGGAAATAACAGCCCTGCTTATCTGCAAATGTCACGCGCAAACATAACATCTTGTCGAGAAGAGTGTATTTTCTTTTCCTGTGACAAAACTCTTGAAACATAGCAGACTGGGTAGGGCACCGTGACTTAGAAATGATTAATTTTATTAATAATTCCCTGTTCTCGTTTCTCTTACGCGTGCGCTAGAGTGCTATATTACGAGCAAGAAAGAGCAAGAAAAACTTTGCTCAGCATGCGCAAATCACCAACCTGCACGGTACTGTATCATTCTCGACCCCAGAGCTCAGGCTATGGACTCCGCGCGTTCTAGTTTGTAATCATGCGCAATAGAGAAGATCTCTGGGGCGGAGAATGGTACTGGAAGAATGCAATTGCCACGTAAACAGGGGCGGACAGAGGATTTTGTGGCAGAGGGGGCCTAGAGATATAGTCTGCAGTGGTAATATGGGCGCGAAAGCGCTCATCAGGACTGCGAATGGCGCACTTTTCTGGGGAGTTTCGGGCGCATGCTCCTCCGGGAAAATTTTTGAGATTGAAGTTCTCTGACATGCAATCTGGTCCATTCTGGACGCAAATACCCGGATTCCATATTGAAAAGGTAATGCTGAAATATTTAAGGAAAAAACTCCCGGACAAAAGGAGGGAATGGGGCCCCCTGGGCCCACCCTTAAATCCGCCCTTGGTAAACAGGTCTCTCTTACAGAGAACTGAACACAGATCAAGCGCCAGGGGTGGGTAGCGGAGCTCCTTAAGACGTTTTTATAGTTTGTTGCAGTCGTTTCTTAAGTCCCCGAAATGGGCTTCAAAAATTTGTTAACAATAAAGCTGAAGGTTAAAGAATTATATTGCTATATCATGTGTTAAAAAAATCATTAACAATTACAACAACATTACAGCAAAAACTACAAGTAAGTCTTAAATTCATCAGTTATCGTAACACCTTGACACGAATCTAAAGTACACAAGTAACTTAATTATTACCCTGTTATACCAGTCGATTTTTTTGTACCTTGCCTTGAGTTTTCCTTGACGCACAACCTTTAGTATAAAGTCATACCGATTATTGCACGCAAACTTTTCAACTACGTTTTGTGTAACGTGTCCTGAAACTACCTGTTTCGCAACAAAAACGCCAAACAAGCTGCAAGATTGATTCAGGGGCGTAGCCAGGGGGGGTCCTGGGGTACCCGTGACCCCCCCCCCCGTTGGTAGGCCTTTTTTTGAGCAAACAACCTACAATATTAAGGTGACGAAAACGCAATGACAATATCTTGGCTGTAAAAGCCATTGTTGAAAAGCCCACTTTTTTAAAATTTGTTTTTTGTAAAGTATTTTCGTCAACGGCTCTTGTCTTTTGTTAATAAGGGCCTTTATGCCGCGATAATACGACTGAGCCCGCTGATACACGAGGGAGAACAGCGGTATAAGCCATATACAGTCGGCGATCCCCGGAAGGTGTCCCTGCTGTGACCCCTCCTTTGAAAAATCCGGGCTACGCCCCTGTGATTGCCTGGAGTAACAGCGACATAATTCATTGAATGCGTAACAACAACTTCAATAAAAAACAAGCTCTGATATTCAATATAAAAACAAAGACAAAGAAGTCTTGGAATAGCTATATAAAGGGGGAAGTACTTGGCGTCACCACTCTCGATAAATGTCTACCATAGTTTTTTTCTGAATGAAATCAATCACACATCCCAACACTTACTACAGTAGAAACTGACGAAGCCTGAGAAATCAGCCGAAATTTCGGAAACGGAAAAAAAGTAGTTCCCCCCTCAAGAGATCTTTTGTTTTGTGAGAGATATCCTTGGCTCTTACCGTGTACAATAGGGTAATAAAAATTAAATTCTTTCCAACTACAAAAAAAAAAAAAAATACAAAATCGACAGGTTGTTGTATAACTAAATATAAAGGCAAAGTAAAGAGGCTTAGAATGACGTTTATGACAAACGGCGAACGTCAGATTTTAAGTTGTCAATTTTTCAAAATTAGGAATTAGGAAGGAAAAGAGTAATTTATAAACTATGTCTTTTCCAGCACATTTTGGCAGAATTTCATCTCTTTTTGCAATAGGATAGAAATAAAGTTGGATGAATTATCAGATGTTGCCAAAATTTTCGGTATCTGATGTTTTACTGCCAAACAACTTAAGACTGAATCCATCAGGAAATTGAATAATTTTAATTTTCAGTGGACAAAAACCCTGTACCAGAATAATTCAAACAGTATCACAAGGGCTATAGATGTAATAGGTTATCTGTAATAACACCAAAGAGAATTTCGTATGAGAGCCAGAGAAAATATTTACGTCAAATTTCGCAAAAACATCTTACACAAGAAATTTTCCGAATTTTAACCGTGCTTTCACAATTCTTGTGAAATTTGACATAAATATTTTCTCGGGCTCCCATGTGTGACATGTGGAATAGTCTTTGGTGTTATTACAGATAACTAATTATATTAAATATATCTGTAGCCCTTCAAAAATCTACAAAAGAATGCGATATTGTTTAAATTATTCTGGTACAAGGTTTTTGTCCACTGAAAATTAATTACTCAATTTCCTGATGGACTCCGTCTTAATAATTTTAGCAAAAGAGCATATTCACCCTCTGGTAAAAGATATTGTGCTCCTTCCTTAAATATTTACCTCTCCAAAGTGACCTTCACTTATCACATTGAGACAATTATTGTTGACTCCAATGGAAAGCGAGCTTTTTAACGACGCTAATTTAATTTAAGTGGAAGAAATATGTCCAAAATAGTAAACCTGGCAGCCGGATTACATTTAAGCCTATTGTGTTTCTAAAAATTTAACAAATGGCCGTTTAATGATTCTTTTGACTTGTCACACCTGGACCATATAATTTTTGTTTTCGTTAGTACCTAATTTTCGCTGAATTGTCTGGTGTGATAAGTGATAATAAATGGGTATTAGTATTATAGTCTGTAAATTGTGAAATTACTGTATTTAATATCATAGGTGACGAATTACTCCTTAATTTTGGCGCGAAATTTCAGCGTTAATTCGTAATTTCACATGTGAAATTACAAAAACTGCCATGGCAACCTAACGTACGTCTCAGTGTCAAGATGTCGACGAAGTTTTAAAATGCCGTGAATGAAGATGTCAGGGCACAAAAAGATGCTATAGAAAACCTGAACATACACGAGAACATCAAGAAGGATTCTAACAGGTATTTTACCGAAAAAGTCTGAAAAATTGTGAACTTTATAAGCCAAATTTGAGGTCTAAACATTTGAGCGAGTCAGAGTTCTCGATCGATACGATCCAGGATAAACATGTCAAAAATCCAAGATTGCTAACGTAATTCGTCACTCATGATATTAAGAGGTAATCAAATGGTATACTCGTGAAATTAGGGAATAATTTCACTTGCGTTTTGTCCAAATCCTAATAATTTCCCGAGCGACAAAACGCGCGTGAAATTATTCCCTAATTTCACTCGTCACCATTTGATTACACATACTTATTTTATTTTTTTTCTGTTTCTTTCTTTCTTTAGTATAGTTAACGAGTACAGTTATTGTAGAAGAGTTAACATGTTTAAATTCCTTTAAATTTCTCGGATGCATAGTTTACCAAATTATCTTAGTTATGGCGCTCCGCGCGCGCAAAGAGCTCCGCTAAAAATTCATTGCTAAATGTTGGGGAATTTCCTTGGAGTTGAATTCTTTGAAGAATTCAACCACAGTTCAGAAAGAGAAAGACAAGTTTGTCGTCTGTTTCTAATTTTGCCGAGATAAAATTTGAATGAAACAGTTCTCAAAAGTATTATCAAAGGGGTGTATTAAGTGTACCTAAAAACTACGATGCCTAACAGAATTGATGGTTTGTTCATTGTACTAGTGTTTCTACGTTCGTGCCTTAACACTTGTTGTAGCTACAGATGGACAGATAGTAGTTTGTTTTAATAACAGATCACTCCGCAACAGTTCTTGACTACTAAAGGATTCTTCTGTCCATCTACAAGACGACAAAAACTCACTAATCTATTCAATACGATTTACGAATTCGCGTAACAGAAGCGCTCTCCGAATGTTTCAGTACTTAAGACAAATTTGAGTTGAACATACAACCGACTACCATAAATGACGTAATAAACGCCCACTTCCAAAGAAATGCATCCTATCTTATAAACACCCCATCTGTGCTGTTTAAATTGCACTAGAGGCCCCTCTCGAATGAACGCCTCCTCCAAAATACTAGGAATTTTCAATGCACTTTACATTGAACAAGATGTTGGGATTTGATAAGGCAACTGAATATAGATCTCTAGACGACCCGGACATGTCAATTGATGAAGTGGATATTCCGCTTTTTTCAAGCTCTCTTGATTTTTTTGCCTAAAGCATATTAGTTATCAGGGATTACAAATTTCTATTTCCCTTTGAGGTCACTTTGACTCCTTGTCCAAAAATGTTGGAGTCATTTTTGAAAATGTGAGGTCAAGGAACATAACAAACAAAACACTACATTTTCAAAGAAAAACAAGATGTGTGCTTTAATGCAAAGTACTACATTTCCTTAGATAACAGCATAGAACACAAGTACAATTTTATATAAAATTCTTGATTTGTAACTTCACAAGTGCACTGAATTTCGAAAGAGGCATTTCTTCTTTTACCATGCAATAAACTGTATGAAACGAAGCCTTTGTGGCATTTCCTGCAGTGATGTTAACTTTTTCCACGCACCTTTCAAACTGTTTCCTGAGTTTTACTTCATTTAACGCGATTTGATGATCGTTATTACCTGCATGCTTCACTAAAGTGGAATGCTGAAAGTTAATGCATCCATCCTTTGCGAAAGGATTTTTTCTGTTTGCTTTCTCACACAAGGAACAAAACATCTTTTGCTTGACTTCGTCAAAGCGAAGCCACGTAAACTCCTTTTGCCACTCCGTGCGGAATTTTCTTTTAGGAGCCTGGTCTGATGTTTTATCCAGACTCCGCTTCCTCGAGGACGAAGCTGAAGGCGCGGCCATTTTGAGCACGTGCAGTGAAGGCACTTAATACCATTATTATATGAAGTACGTATGCGGAGAAGAACCGCTGACCGAAAACGTTCACAATTAAAAATGGCAACGTGCTGTACGTCGGACACAAACGAGCTACGGACAAAGTTTGTTTCACAAAGGAATGTTGTTGCAGGAATGCCAGGACCTTCCATTTTTATTGTTTCATTACGGATATAACAATTTTTAAGATTTTTCCAGGCAGAAAATAAAATTCTGCTGAACATTTCTGAATTCCTCTCCGGAGTCAAAGTGACTCCCCAATGGAATTTTTTGGAGTCATTGATGAATTCTTGGCGTAAAATACGCCAAATTTGGCGTATTTGTAATCCCTGCAGTTATGTAGAACTTGTTGCAGTGATGAAGAAATACGCTTCTCGACTCCGCTTGACCACCTAAGGGTTGATTTCCACTGTCACATAATTTTTACGTGCGTAGGTGCCTAAAATTTACGTTCGCAAATAAAATAGAGGTAATGTATGAAAGATCGCACATAAGCGTAAAAGTATAACCTCGCTCAACTTCACGTTTAATGTCAACACTTTATATCTTGCCTCTACAGGGTGTTTCAAAAGTTCGTTCCGATTCTAAATTGTGTTTTGAGAAAAGCATTTAATACTTCCTTAGGCAAATGTAAACTGATTCAGGTAAGAAATTTATCTAAATAACCGTTCAAAGCAACTTCAAACTAAAATTTGAAGAAATTATATATTTTTTTAAATTTTTGCCCCAACTGTTCACGTACGCGTGGTTTTTCCCGCGATACTTTTCCTGCCCATTTTGTAGGCTTTCTATTTTAGTATTTTTATCGTTTTCTTTTATTTTCTCTACTCCTGAAAATGAAGGCCTACACTGTTTGTGCTAGAGATGAGGCATCTATTTTTATGGTCTTCTGGCCCTTAAGTCCAAAAAAAAAAATTGCCAAATTATTGAAGAAGTCTGAACGATGACCGAACAAGTGGTCAAAAGTGAAGAACTTAGAAGACAAACCAAGGAGTGGATGGCCGTTTTTTCACAAAATGTGTGAGAAATATTATCGAAAAAGCTGTAAGTATATGCGTAATAATTCCACAAAACAGAAAGGTAAAAAAATTCAACTTCACGTTATCGATCAAAGTTTCGAGAACAACGGTATGGGGATAAGTTACCACAAAAAGTTGAAAGACGTGAAGAGAAAAAGGCTGTGCACACTTCATGCAAGCATGGTGTCAGAAGGATTTGCCAACTTTATACCAAAGGAGGACCGGCCGGCAAACTGACACGATGTGAACCCCCCAGAAACTATCTGGATTATCATAGACGAGACAACATACAAACATCCAGCCCCCAAAACACTGGACGAGCTAAGACAGTGACTACGCTTCGCCTGGAAGAATGTGACTTTGGACACGCTTTGGGAGCTCGTACATTCTATACCTCACCTCTTAGAAAATGTCAGAAAACATAAAGGAAAACGTTCTGGTTACTAATAATTAATTATTCAATGTTAAATGAATAATGAATAACATAATAAGTTTTGAAAAAGGGTTTTTTGATAATTAGTGAAATTTAAGCGAATGAAAAATCGGAACGAACTTTTGAAACACCCTGTAGTTTATTTACGTGATTAAAAAATACGTGCGGTAACGTGCGTAGCCAAAAATTGCGTTCATTGAAATCATAGTTATTAGAGGAGATTGGTTATGAAAAGCGGCAAACATCAATGATAAAAACAACAGTGCTGCAGTTTATATTGGAAGTACCGTGAAAGTGCACAATCCTTTGTTTTCTGTTGGCAAATTGTTACGGAATAAATTAATGCAACGTTTTTATTGGTCAATACAATCAAAATGATAGGAATTCTTTTGAACGATGTGCACTTTCAGGTCCACAAAAACATATAACAAAGGAGTCTGACGGGTTTCATAACCATTCCACTCAATTAACTATGTTGAAATCAACCTTAAAATTGAAAGACGCCCCAAGCCTTTATACGGTCATTTACTGTTCACCAGTAACGAAACGTACTGAACCTTACGCTTAACAGAACCTTCCTTAAAACTTTATCAAATACAGTAAAAACCAACGCCTAAGAAACTGCATTTTCCCAAGTTAAACAGGTTCTTACATAAATGGTAAATAGCACAAATTAAGGTCATTTAGGTTCTCAAATAGGTTCTTATTTTCTGAAGGAAAAACCATTGTAGGTTCTAGCTAAAATATTTGGTGGTATTCAGCTCATTTCTAAGACTGATGATGTTTTCTGCATACTGACACATTATATTGCAGTTGGAGTGATAACCCTGTCTTCAAAAAGGATCCTAAATGTTGACTTAACTTATTTGCCCTCGTGTACAGAATATCTTTTTATAGACTTTACAAATAAGAACCTGTTTCAAATTCAAGGCTAAACAAGTTCTTGTGTAGAGGTAGCCTGTTCCACGCGTTCAAATGGTGGGGAGTGGGCAAAGAAATTAGTTGGGTGTTCCTTTTACGCTCGACGCGTACGATTTAACTCGCTCCCCACCATCTGAACGCCTGGAACAGCCTAGTGTAGAGCGAGCCTAATTAACAGGTTCTCTAAAACTAGGTTATTACCCTCTTTTTTCTACTGTACGTCAAGGCGGCGATGGGGGAGTGGGAATGTGTTTCGTAGTCTTCCAGGTCTGTTCTGATTTTACAGACACCCGTGTGAACACTGCTGTTTCTTAGTTGTTAGGTCTGTTCTGGTTTTACAGACACCAGTGAAAACATTGCTTTTACTGTGAAACTTACAACTTAGTGTTGAAAGTTTTATGAATTTAACAGTAAGGACCCAAATGTTAGTAAACTTACGTGTCATCTTCACCTATATTTCTCATATGATTCTCATAATGTTGAAGAAGAAGTGCCTCACTGCTCATCTCCTCTTGACAAATCCAACAGCTGTGTTTCTCAAAGATTGCTGATTCTAAACCTTCCGTACTATTGTTTCCACTCTCTTTCTGTACCAGTGCTTTGTTTACAGATCTCAATCTTTCCTTTCTTTTGGAATATTTACATGACCTTTTTAGAGTATGACATCTTAAATGTTTTTTTAGCTTTCCACATTTGGTAAAACACTTGCCACACTGTTTACATTCATATTTTTTTCCCTTAGTGTGAACCCTTTCATGAGTCCTTATGGCATTCAAATGTCTAAAACACTTGCCACACTGTTTACATTCATAAGGCTTTTCCCCAGTATGAACTCTTTTGTGAATCCTTAAGTTTCCTGCTACACTAAAACACTTGCCACACTGTTTACATTCATAAGGCTTTTCCCCAGTGTGAACTCTTTCATGAATCCTTAAGTTTCCTGCTACACTAAAACACTTACCACACTGTTTACACTCAAAAGGCTTTTCCCCAGTGTGAACTCTTTCATGACTCCTTAGGGTTCCCACCACGCTAAAACACTTGCCACACTGTTTACATTCATGAGGTTTTTCCCCAGTATGTACTGTTACATGACTCTTTAGGTCTCCTGCTCGGCTAAAACACTTGCCACACTGTTTGCATTCATAAGGCTTTTGCCCAGTGTGAACTCTTTCATGTCTCCTTAAGGTTCCTGCTTCACTGAAACACTTACCACACTGTTTACATTCAAAAGGCTTTTCCCCAGTGTGAACTCTTTCATGACTCCTTAGGGTTCTTACCACCCTAAAACACTTTCCACACTGTTTACATTCATAAGGCTTTTCCCCAGTGTGAACTGTTACATGACTCTTTAGGTTTCCTGCTCGGCTAAAACACTTGCCACACTGTTTACATTCATAAGGCTTTTGCCCAGTGTGAACTCTTTCATGTCTCCTTAGGTCTTCTGATTGGCTAAAACACTTGCCACACTGTTTACATTCATAAGGCTTTTCTCCAGTGTGAACTCTTTCATGAATCCTTAAGTTTCCTTCTATACTAAAACACTTGCCACACTGTTTACATTCATACGGCTTTTCCCCAGTGTGAACTCTTTCATGAATCCTTAAGTTTCCTGCTACACTAAAACACTTACCACACTGTTTACATTCGAAAGGCTTTTCCCCAGTGTGAACTCTTTCATGTCTCCTTAGGGTTCCTGCTTGGCTAAAAGACTTGCCACACTGTTTACATTCATAACGCTTTTCCGCAGTGTGAGCACTTTTACAAATAAAGGACATTGATCAAGTGCTTCTGGTATCGTCTTTTGGTTAAAGTTCCTATTGACACAAAAATGAATCAATATTAGTTAAAAACACAACTACTGCATTTACCTTACTTTGTAGCCACCAATAAAATTAGTTTGAGCAGCTAATGCAAGATCAAGCAAGCTCTTTCACAGGTAGGAAAAACTCATTAGAGGAAATAAAGTTATCCCAACTCTTTAACACCCTTCTACAAACAGACCAAGCATCAATGAAGGAACACTGATCATTTATTGATTTTGTACTTGGACCTAATAATTAAAAGTGCTTAATGGTGTAAATCTACCTTAGGTCAAGACAGCAATATTGTCTGCCTATAAACCAGACATAACATTAATAAATGACACATGAAATACATAAATGACAACAGCTGGGAAGTAATCAAAAGGTGATTGATGGGTATTTAAGTTGATTAGTTATTGATTACTGATGATGATCAATGAGTACCCAATATGATGAATTTCCTCATGCACTTCATGAACAAGCTAACAAAAGTATGCCAGTTTAAGTTATAACATAACAAAAGTAAATCGTGCGCTCTGATTGGTCAGTTAGCCACTACCATTTGCTCGTGGGTGCACGCCAAGAAACTGAGCTAGCGCGGTAAAATTTAGGCAAATTCAACAAATCTCCTCTCCTGACAGTAAAATACACCAATGAAATGCACAGATGAAAAGTGGAAGTTGAAGAAAATACTAAGCTGTTGTTTTGAAGAAAAAAAGACAAAAGATCAAGCAACAAATTTGCCCTGGATGAATTTATCACTTTTCTTGCGGCTAGAATCGGCTGAAGGAAAATCGAGCGAGCGAAAATTTAAGGTACATTTTGTGTGTTTTTTATAGAAGAGAAAGTCTGTTTGAAATGTAACGTAAATTTATTAATTAGCATTGTGTTATTGACTTTTTGGTCAAGCTGATGCTAAATTCAAGGAAATATTTTAGGAAACGCATTCAAATTCGAGGCAGCTTTGTTGTGAAGTTTTCATCGCATCGATTAAAAATTTTGGGTGAGTTTAAACAGGCACATTATGCTGGAATAAGAGAATTTCATTTGAGTACAGAAACATTTGGGTTTTCAAATAAATTTTTAAAAAAAAAACTTCTGTGTGTATTATTTTGTTCCTCAGTGTTCATTCATAACAGTCATTCAGAGAACGGTAAAAAAACTACAGCTTCAGCATAGGCTGTGTGTCGGCCAATTTCAGTTGCAACTTTGACTTTCATAGCTGAATTTCCCCAGACAGCTTTCGATACAAAGCTAGTTAATTTCTTTTTAAAATTAGTGTTACCTGTTATTCTAAAGGAATTACAGTCAATTTTTACGTTTATTTCAAAAATTGTCACATAAATAAGCTTGATAATTATTTCATTTATTTAGTTTTAGCTTATTTTTTAGAGTCTTTTGGCCTGGCGCACGCTACTGGTGTACACGGCTAAGAATCTCACATCGTTTGGCTCTTATGAACTTATTAAAACTGAGATCGCATCGATATTTGGCAAGAAGTTAAAGTTTATAAACAGCTTTTCATTGAATATTTTTTTCCTGGCTGTAAGACCAAGATAAAATTGAAATATGAAAAATATGGCTCAAAATGGGACCATTTTTTAACAGCTCGCGTAACATTTACAGTCTAACCACGCATATTGTGGGATTTCTCTGTTTCTGTTAATGGTACCTTGGAAAAATTTCTCCGAAGAGGTCAGTGACTTATGAGTACTAACTGTATTAAAAATTACTGAACATAATGGCAAAACAACAAAGTTTAGGGCGTTTTCAGAAAGATGTTCTGTCTACATACGATCTCTGTGCAGCGCGAACGTCAATTTAAAAGATTGCTTTTCATTGACTTTCTGTTGTTGTTAAGAGAAGAAATAATAATTTTTGGAATGCTCATAAGTTAAATTTTCCTTATAGACTAACTGTTAAGACTTCGGGAAACCCATTTTTACGCTAAGATCAAATATGTAAGGTTAGACAGCATTTTTTTAACGTGAAAATTCGTAAACCGTGCGTTGGACCGAAAATCGGATTCTAGAGTGTGCTTTGGCATAAAGATTTTGTGCCTAAAATGTGCCTAAGATGTGCATAAAGTGTGCATTTTAGTTTTGAAAAACGTGCCTAAGCCGTGCCTAAGTTGTGCCCAAACTGTGCCTAATCTGTGCACAAGTTGTGCCAAAATATTGAGTCACTCGGAAAATCGTGTCCAGCCTATCGAGCTCCACAGCGAACGAAAAGGGCGCACGGCAATTATGTCAGTTTTGAGGTTTACGAAGTCTAGAAACACGGTCTGACGACCTTTTTATCCCCTAATAAGAAATAACATGACTCAGAATACGGTTAGAGACAGCAGGGAAAGCCCCGACAAACAGGAAAATGGAATCTTAAACAGGTTAGCGTATTTAAAGTAAGTGCTCAGCATGCAATTACATTGTTGATATTATGCTAATTTCATCGATGTTAAAAAATTTCCAAGTAGGTTTCTTCTCCCCTTCTTAATGGAGCGTTTAGTTGGAACGAAATATTTGTTTTTTTCAGGAGGGTAGATTTGCATTCAAAAAAAGAATTTACTTGTGATATGACTTATAAAATGAAAACGAAAAAATTGATTGCACGCCGATGAGTTTTGAAATAAATGGCACGTCTCATCGATTATTATAAGCTTAATTTGCTATCAGAGCCAGAAAACAAAAACAAACAAGCAGCTTGAATTATTTTACTACAGTGTAAATCCTACTTTTTTATTTAGAGAAATATTTTTAAAAAGCAGCCGCATTTTGTATTTAAAAATAACACGCGTTGGCATGAAGGTTTCAAATTACCACTCTGTACTTTTCATGTTGTTATGCAAATTCAGGCCAATTTTACCGCGATCGCAAAAAGTATTTTCTACAACTTTTATTGGCTATTTTTGTGCCTCACTTCTTTAGCTTTGTTTTTGTTATTATGGCTTCGACTTTCTTTCACGATTTCTTTTAGAAACGAAAGAAAGCGAGTCTATAAAATTGCATGGCAATCGAAAAGGTTCAGACCGGCATATATCGCGTGTGAATTTCCACTTTATCCTCGGAGTAAACACGGACTGTCGAAGAATACTTTAATTTTCCAGACTTTCGGCGCGGCTCAAAACTTACACTTCCTATACTTCTAACTGTATCGTGTTTGATCTGAATTATTTTTGTAATTCGTACCAAGTTTATTCTTTTTTGCAAGTCGGGTTACAAAGATTTTCAAAAAAGTGCCCAGCGTTGAATATTTGTGCCCAAACGGTGCCTAAACCCGTGCCAAAACTGTGCCCAAACTGTGCCTAAAGTGTGCCTTAGCAATATTTAAAACGTGCCTTAACTGTGCCTAAAGTGTGCCTAATCTGTGCCTTTGCATGTTTTTTTCCCGTGCTTTGGCACAAAAACCGTGCCTTTTCTTGAGCGCGAATCGTGCGTAAGGCACGGTGTTACGCTCGTGTACACCAGTAGCGTGCGCCAAGCCTTTTTAGTTGGTGTTTATAGTTGCATCTATAGTTTTCCCTCAAAGTTTTTACCCTAATATTAAGAGCAAGTAGACAGATGCCATTCAGAATAACAAGAAAAACGTTTTGCAATTTACATGAAGAAGGAGAACAGTTGATTCAGTGAAAGAAAAACTCAAAGGGGTGGGCGGATGGCATCATACGTGAACTTGGACCGATAACTCAACCGAAGGCAAATGGAAAATAATGTTTTTCTCTTTTGATTATGTTATAAAGGAAATGGTAAACGTTGCAGCTGTGCAACCATGGAGATATGGATGCACTTGGGAGGTTTGCTAAGCACTCAAGAAGCTAGAGTCGCCCTCGGTGACTCTTACGCTTCTTTCATTTTGTAATGACGTAAATCTACCTTAGGTCAAGATAGCAATACTGTACTGTCTGCCTATAAACCAGACATAATATTAATAAATGACACATTAAAAACATAAATGACAACAGCTAGGAAGTAATCAATAGGTGATTGATGGATAGTTGAGTTGATTAGTCATTGATTATTGATGATGATCAATGAGTACCCAATATGATGAATTTCCTCATGCACTTCATGAACAATGAGTAATACGACTAATCAAATATATGCACCAAATTTTAAGTCACTGGATAACCAGCTGCACAAAGTTTGCCAGTTTAAAAAAAAATCCAATATCTTCAAGGTATATGTGATATCATATATCAAATGCAAACTGATCCAGGCAATCAGATAGTAGGCTCCCTACCACCCTCCCCAGTCTCCCTTTATTACTTCTAGTATTCTGTGCTTTGCACTGTGCCCTATTATCTGAATACTTAGAACAGGTTATACATCATTTATCCCATGCCATAGAGAATACAACAAAATAGAATAGAAACCTATTGCATACTCTCTCCAGTATATGCACAGGTAGCGTTCTGTGAAAATTTCTTCAGCCTCCACATTTTTTCACCAGAAATAGAGCAGAAGCCAAATCACTTAACTCAGAATTATTCAGCATTATGCAATTGGTGCGCTGCAAAATACCCCTGCCAGGTTTCACTTCATCAGGTTCTTTGTGTGTGAGTTATTTTGCCCACAAGTCGATTTGCCTACAATGAGGTCGATTCGCCTACGTGATCTATTAAGGTGTTTTGCTGACAGTGAAGTTCATGCATAAATACAAATGTAGGAGTAAGGCTTATCAACTCGTCGATTTTAAACTTTATAATATTAACTTGTTGATGACTGCGAAACTTCTCGAAGTTGTTCTTCCAAAAAATGATAATTCATTGACCCTGTGTGCAGTAACTTAGAGAGCAAATAGGCTTAATTCTCTTAATTTAAATCTAGAACAATCAGGAAAACACAAGAAACAGGGATGTTATTTCTTGAAATATTTTATTCAAAGACCCAAAATTTAATCCTTAAAAGCAATTTGCGTAACACTATAAACTTGACAAGATGCCCTTACAGTATTCAATCAACCTTGCTTGGAGATTA